ATCATCTTTATATCATTTTATGAAATGGTCTTAAAATGACTCAAATATGATATCATTTTAAGCTCATATTTAAATCATTTTAGGATTATAATATGATCATTTTTACTTCATATCATAAATGAGCCATACATGTCTCATTTATGTCTGATTTCCTGCGACCTGGGTAGGCAATGATGTGGTTGAAAAAAGTTGATTTTCGATACTAATACTCACATTTGATTCAGAATAAAACATTTTGTACTTCTATTGTCATGTTGTGAACTGCCTATGTATGACTGGTCCATTTCTTTCTTTCAATAAAACTATTTATCTACCAACATCTCATTATGACTACAAATATTAAGATATTTCCAATGACAGTGATCAGGTCAATTCACAAGTTAGTATATTCCTTAAGAACACCAGTTGTGCAAAAGAATAAGACATGACTAACGTAATTATTTGACTCGTTTCAATAACAGAGATAGCAACATCAACCACAGATAATTTCTTTTGGTAAGAAATTGATCAGTCATAGGCAGTTCATAACATGACAATAGAAGGTACAGAATTTGTTATTCTGAATTTTGTTGTTTAAGTGTGAATATTAGTATCCAAATCAACTTTCTAACACTCACTTTTATTTGACCTTGCTAGAGCAAATATTTTTACATATAGTGAACATATTTTCAAGGTAGTTGAGTAAGCATAATATACTCTTTATAGCATATATTTGAATTATTATAAAAATTGTGTTTTTTCTTGCCAAAACAATATTTTGTTCGTTGTTTTTTCCATCTATTTTCTTAAACGTTTACATGATTAATATATTTTATTTTCCTTCTGGTTTTGAAAATATATTTTCAACTATATTTACTGTGGTAGCTCTAAATTTTTCTATGTCGTAAGATGATTTTTTTCGTCAAGGCCACTAATGTATTCGACATTTAACCTTTGAATGGAATCGTTGATGTTTTGTTTTGTAGAGTTTCTGCTATTTATACGTATTAAATTACTATCGTACCCCTTCAATTGCTGTTAGAATCCGGAATGGTCACTTCGCTCCATGTGATATTACAAACAGAAAAGAGAAAACGACAGGCCAGCACAGAATAAAAGCGCCAAGGAGTACATTTGTCGAAAGACGAATGCACATCCCTTCAATTGCCGTTATAAAATGATTATCAAAAGTTCCAGCCATTTTATGGGGCCTCGATAATGAATGAAGTCGTGAGATCCATATTTTTCGAGTTATATGAGATTTACATAATTTCTGACTATGAATCTGTGTGTCTAGTTATCTGACACATCTGCGAAAGTGTCTTTCTTTGCTGCGAGATAAGCTATGAAGAGAACATTTAGAACAAAATAGGAAATTTTACTAGAAAGTCGACCAAGAAAGTTGTCTTAAAACCCCTCTCAGAAGGAGATGTCCATATTTTAAGTTCGATGCCGCGGGAACCTTCAGCAGTTAGTAGTCCTCCCAGGGAATTGAAATATCAAAAAATGTCATTATAGTTTTTTGCTTTTTTCCGTATTTTTAGATGTATTATTTCCGACAATCTTATCAAAGCTTTTTTCCCATTACTGAACCCATTACTGCCGGCAACGAGATAGAATATACCACTGACAACGAGATGGAACCCATTAATGCTGGCAACAAGACGCTAGATGCTATTCTCAGTGGCCTGAAACTTCGTGATGATAATGATAAGAAAAGCACAGTGTCAAATAAATATAAAATCAGTAATACGCCCTATGATATCATTATTCGTATTAACAGCTTAGATGATCTGAGTTCAAAGGGCTGGGAAATTTTAGTTGGTGAACGAACATAAAATTTTATATTGGAACCACAAGTATCTGAAGTCAAGAAGAGTGAACAAACAACAAATGATACTTCAAAAAAACTCAGCATTTGGAATGGATAATTATATTGGAGGGGATGCTAATTCATCTAAATCAGAATCTGAAACGATGGATGGTGTTATAGTCACTATTCTCGGCGCATACAACCGTGGGAAATCATTTTTACGTGCTACTGATCAAATATATATTAAACAGATATTGAAGTATTGTAAAAGTACTAATAAAAAAACTGGTATTATAATTGTTCATAATTTGCTCGATTTGTCAACAGTTCACGATGTCACAACAATAATAGAGGAAGAAGTAAAATCTGTTTTTGAGGCTACAGAAGATGAGATGCAAATATCAGTGAATGGTAGCCATAGAACAATCAGGTTTTTCAAATCAATACAGGAAGGCATTCATTTACGCTATTTCATTTTGGCAAAAGCTGAATCTGAATCGGAAGCGGCCAAAAGGTGGAATACTCAATCATTTGATGGTGTCATGAATATTTTTCAAGCATCTTCGGAATATAAACGTCATCTAGATATTATTAGCAGCATGATTAATTTTATCAATGACAAGCTACCACAGCTGCTGCTTCGAGACAATTCTGAAAATAGCAACCCTCAGCAGAGTCTACAGATTGTACAATATAATAATCAACCATATATTGTTCTTTCTGACCGAAAAGACCTTGAAGATCTCAAACAAGACTCGCCGTATAAATTGGAACTAGTGAAACCAATCGTGTATGATGATTCGGGCTATTTCATTAGACATGAAAGTAGTCATTGGCAACCACGTCATAATCTTTACGGGAATGAAGATCACATTTGCGCAATTTTTGAACTTCCAGGTGTTAAACAAAAAGATGTAAAAAACCTGAAGATTAGAGAGAATTCAATTTTCATTGAAGGTATTCGTAGCGATTTAAAGATGTCACCGACTTATGTTGTCCTTCATCAATCTGAAATACCAAGTGGTTCTTTTAAATTAGAAATTCCTTTGCCACGTGCGGTTGATCTTGACAGTGCAGAAGCTGAGAGAGAGAGAGATAAGGATAGAACAGAAAGAAGCAAAGCACAAAAGAACACTACACAGTTGATAGAATCGAACACTTGAACTTTGAATTCAAATGCAAAGAATTTACTTTTGGACTAAATTGTCCAAAAGTAAACTCTGAGGTGTTCTCATCCCCATCCTGTGCATTGCTATAGTGTGTTTTACTCCCGCTGCTCAACCCATACAGCTTATATCCTTGATCAGCGACCAAAGCTAAACCTGATGATGGTTTGATTATAATTACAGTTCCCAAAAAGAAATCATTAGAGAAAAATTTACAATTTTAAACCGAAGCCATATTTCAGAAATTCAAGTTTAATCCTGAGGCTTCTTTTTCACTTGTGAAGTTTACAACGAATTCTTTTATGAATAAATAAGTGGACGACACTGCAGGAAAATAATAAGTTTACCTTGTTTAAGGGCTGTCATCCAAGAGGAATAATGCTGACTAACACGATCTTAAGGGTGGCCCCTTTCCGGATCCAAAAAAAAATGTTTTTGATTTCGAGATTTTCATTTGTTCACGCATTCATCATTGAAACGCTCTCTATTAAATGCCATAAAATTAAAACGGTGTCAAACCAGATAACCATGAAAAAAAACGCTCCTGATTTAGCAAAAGTGAAATTTCTCAGCAATGGAGAGGAATTCCAAAAAAACGAGTTATACTTTTGTAGTTCGAATAAAGACCGCTCGAATGGCGCAAGAATGAACATTCTATCTTTTACCAAAAAAACTAGATAGCTTTTTCCGATGAGGTCTCCGCTTTGGAGATATCCTTGAAGATGAATTTTTCGTGCAATGACATTACATATGGGAAGCATAAAAGGCACATTTTCTAATTCGATTTTCGCTGAATTAGAAAAAAAGCTGTTTGAGAGTTTCAAAATAAAAAGGAGAAAAAGTGTTCAACCTTTTTCGAAACGGGAAAGTTTTTCGGATTTTAAGACCCTTCCCGTATTTTCAATTTTTCGACGCGCAAACGTGCACTGGGGAGGCGATATTGGTAATCAGCTTCAAATTCTCTATCAAATCATATATAAAGAAACTAAAAATACAATAGTACTTGATTTTTGAATTACGCGCGCCTTAACTGTTACCATTTCTAATGTAACTAAAAACAATAGTAATTACTCGATTTTTCGAAAAGAAATGATCTATATGCCCAAAAGTGGATTCGAACCACGTTTCTCGAATGGGTCGCATGTGTCGTGAAAAATGTGTCGCAACGAGTACCTCGTGTCGTATTTGGATGTGTAAGTACGACACATGTGCATGCACATGAAAAAGAACATACCATTCACTATGTTACTTCGTGCTATCAGATATTGTTCAACATCCCAAGTTTATTTGAATGAACGCGAAAAATTACGAATGGGTTTACTACTAAATAAATATCCTATTAAATTTATTGATCAACAATTTTATCGTGTATTACAGAAGTTTAATATTGATCAACCATTAACTAGAAATAACTATAATGCTTTACGTCAAAAAGTTATAAATACTCCATTTAAAGAAAAAGTACCAGTCGACTATAACAGAACAATGTTTGTTCCTGTCATTTATTGCTCTAATATGAAAGCATTTCCTCAAAAATTCCATGCACTTTAGAATAAATATTTTGAAGAATCCCCTGTTGATGAGATTATCTCAGTTCTTGGTGCTCGTAATGTTGACAATTTACATTGACGATTAGTTCATACTCGTCAATCTTAACTTATTCAATTGTTCTAAATAAGATTAACTGACTGCCCATTACACAATTATTAAGATAAACAACAATTTATCGATATGCATAACATTATTCTATATTAATTTTATGCTTTCTGATCTATTCGTTGTACTACGTCTCGACTCTTGCCTCCAATTCATCAAAGCTAGATTTTGTCCTGTTTTTATTTGCTTCTTTCAATTGGTTTATTTTCTATTAGCTAATCCAGCTTTTATTTGTTTGTTCACTTATTCGTTCACTTACTTACATTGTTTACCTGTTTTTTTTGTTAAGCTCTTTCTACTTAGTGTTTATTACAAGGAGGTAATGCAGGTACCAAGCACCAAATTATGCTCGGCGGTGCTGAAAAAGTGCTGAGGTGCCTATAGAGTTTTGAAAAATAAGATAGAAATTGATGTTATAGCTAGGGAAGACTCATATTGTTCCAACTCGATTTTTTCGATGAAGACAAATTAGCAGTATTCCATCAGAATTATTGTCTGAAAACAATATAAACACATTCAATCTTGATCGGTTAATATCTGATGAAGTTGTGGTTACAAGTCAACCATTGGTGCGATTAAACACAACAAATATGATTCCAAGCCAAAGACAAAGCATTCCAACTGTTGCAGAGCATAATGCTTTAACCCGAAGACAATTAGGTCGACGAAGAAGACTTCAACGACAGCGTCAAAGAAAACGAGAGCGGCGAGAAGAACAACATCGAGAACAACAGTATCAACAACAGCAGCTTCAAATTCAACAAACAAGAAGTCAATGATTCAGTCGACCGTATGAAAACCGACGGAGCAATGAACGAAGCCGAGAGAAATTCCACAACGCGTGGCAACATCTAGATTCATCTGACGATTTCATAAATGAAATCTATACTGAGCCACTATTGGATGTATATAGATGTATATATTGGGAAAAAATGGATCCAAAGCAAAGATGGGAACAAGAACAGTTGAAAGAACTGAAGGGATTTGTCGTTCTTGAACAATTACAATTAATCCACTGAACAGTTATAATATATAAGAAGAAACAAAAAAATAAAGTTCTTACATACAGTACAAATAGATTTTATGCCAATGTGTAATGTAAACGTTGTTAAACCACGTGTATTGTTGAGTTGATAAGTTAAAAAAACATCAATGTTTTATTAAAAAGAAACGGATAAAAAAAACTTAAACAGTATCATTCTTCATTGTCATATATTTCATTCACTCTAACAATGACACATTCTAAAATTTCAAATTTAACTAGGGCCGAATTCATCGTTTCTATTTGTTCAAATTTATTGGGCATTTTTAATTTTTCATTTTGAACATATACAGATGTCTCTGTTAATGAATAATCAGGAATATTACCACTGTTCTTTGGTGCCTTTTCTTTCATTTGATTCAATTCTAATTTATAATGCGCACGCGCCAACTCAATGGATTTACGTAACGGTTCTAACCATACTTTTCTAATATTTTTTAACCAATTTGAGTTCCATATTCCCGTTTTATTCACTGTTTGTTTATCAACTAGTCCTATAAATCTTAATAAATTTAATGCTGAGCATAAACATTCAGATATTTCAAGCAGATCTGTTTCAATGCCATTAGGTAGATAACATATTAGATCAAGTAATTGGAATAATTTCAAATTTGAATAACGATAAGTCTGTTTAATATAATCGGAATGAAAATCATCTTTAAATAATTGAACTAAATAGGTACGATATGAATCATTATGATAAGGAGTTTTAGTTAATTGTTGTTTTAAAAATACATAACGACCTTCATTAGTAAAACTAGAAAATAATGAACGATAACTATTGATTGTTTGACGAGCCAATTCTCGTGATGGACAATGAACCATTAATTGCATTAAATCATCAATTAAAGAGTGTAATGATGAATTATCTATATGGAAAAAAGATGAATAAAACGTTAGTCAATTTTTTCATCACTTACCTAAATATGTTTCATCTAATTCAGTTGTTTCTAATTGATGACATAATACTGAAATTAAACGACATGCTTTTTGTACTAAAATCATTTGATTTTTTTGTTCTGTATTTAAAAAATCAGATCCACCCATATCATGAATAGCTGGTATTGCCAATAATAATAAATAAAATGGTGAATAAATAGATGGTAATGAACAGAGACTCGTTGTAAATAGAAAATAGATAAAAACAGATATTGAACGTTGATCAATTAGACTAGATGATTTTTTAGCTAAATCGTCATTCAATTTTAATAATAAACGAATTGGATTTGGATACATTGATGTTAAACATTTAAAAAATAATTTCATTACAACTAGACAACTACTTTCTTTTCCTTCAACGGGTTCAAAACTCAACAGATGCAATGGTTCATGTAATAAACTCAAAAGACCTTTTGATAATACATAACAAATATCTAAATCTTCTTTAAAATTTTGTTTTAATTGACTAATAAAATCAATATAAGATTGAGTTAAATCTAATATATGAGTGATACGTTTATCATGATTATAAACAAGAAGATCTTTTCCTTAAAAAAAAAAGATAAGATTAATAATATATTAAATTAACATACACTATTGATATTACCTTCAAAATCATAACTAATTGTTGGTATCTCCATTGTACATAAATGACATTTTAAAATTCCTAAAACATCTTCAATTGATGTTGCTAATCTTTTTGTTGGTAAACGTGTTAAGAGAATATAAAATAAATTCATATATAACTGATATAAATGATCAGTTATAAATGCATCGGTTTGTTCAAGAAGAACAATGTACATTTCACGTGCATTACCATGATGAGCTAAATGCAAAAGACCATCTTCACAAAATAATTCATATTCATTACATAATTTTGACGATGGAATTTGAATTAAATGACATAAATAAGAACATAGATCCCATGTCGATTCATAAAGTTGTTGATGATGAGTTTCATTTGTCAAATATTTTAAACCAACATCAAATTGTTCAAAATCAATAATTTTTGTTAATTCTTGAACAAATGTTGAATTGAATAATGGTGAATTATCATTGTTATCAGTTGAGTTAATCTCATTTATTGGTTGTACATCATCTGTCATATCTGAAATAAACTAAATGAAAAAATGAATCAATTTTTTTTGTAAAATATTTCAAAAGTGTATTTGATGATAATTTAAAAGGCTTAATTATCAATATTTATTAGTTCAAAGCTAAAAACTATATATACAATATTTATCCATTGTCACTACTTGTTCTCATGTATTATTCATCATTCTTTGCTTGTTTCGTATGTTTTCTTGTTATTGTTTCATATTTCCATCTGTTGCCATGATATATTTATTATTATTGTTATTATTATCTGTGCATCTTTTAACGATTCTGTTCGTACCACAGCTTACAAAAGTAGCGATCAGACCTTAAATCTTTATGAATATGAACACGTCAGATCATTACTGATAAAAATTCGAGGATCAGAACCAATTTGGATCATAAATATTTGAAAACTGGAACTAAGTCGGACTGAATAAACTATCGATCAGTCCCTGATTTTAGGCAGTTATTCTATGATTGTATAGAATTAAGGAATAATTTCATCTTGACTGGAATTGATTAGAGAATATCGAGCGGCGAAATAAAATATATTTAATTATTGAGTTATCTTCCAGTCGTATGACCGATTTATTCAGAGAACCAAAAAAGAAAGACTCTAAACTGTCTCTCTTAGTTATAGACGTAATATTAACTGATAATACCAAAAAAACAAAACAAAAACGAATAAAGTGTGAATTAATTACAATTTCCTAGCTAAACTAATCAAATTATTCTGTCATTCTGGATTCTGTATTGATTTTGCAGTTGAATTTCGATTAATCAGATAAATTGAAAATCGAAACAGCAGCATGACACTTTCTTATCTAATAACAATGTAAATCAATTCTGGCATAGACCAATTATTTACAATAGACTGGTACTATTACATTATTACTTGCTCTAGAACAGAAACAACACAGATCGATATTTAAATTAAAAAAATGTTCACAATGAAGACAAATTTCAATATTGCTGATTATCATATTTCAGCCAGATTTTGGATGATTCAATACATTGAACAGATACCAAACACGCTGACTGATATAACAAAGTTGTATGCTTATTATTGAAAAAGTTTTTTTGTTTGTTCTGTAACATCTCTGACATAGCTAAGGTGCCGGCAATTCAAAAATCGAGGCAATTCAAAAAATGTAGAAAAACTATTGTCTTTTTTTGTCATGATTAGATAGAGCTGATCAAGTCACATGGGAAAATGTCATTTTTAAAGTTTCGAAAACGATTTTCATATAAAAAAGTTTTAAAA